ATAGTTTAGAGCAAATTGAAGATTTTGTTTGCATGCCTTTGAGATCGTAGGAATCTCTTTTCACAATAAGAATCGAGTAGAGGCCAATACGGGCGAATGTGACTCCATGACTCACTTCGTACCATAATCCCTGATCCTCCTTTCGTGGTTTTGAACCATATGGAGTTAGTAATCCCATGGATTATGAATGGGGTGTAACCTTCACGGGTCAATCGTTGTTGCCTATCGTTGTCCCTTAATCGTGGTTGCCTTTTATGATCCGTGAACGGTTTACAAGTTCCTCAAAAACTTGTTGGCGGCTCCCTACTTTCCTTGTCCCTAATCGTATTATGTAAATTCCCACTTCCTATGAGTTCCAGGCATATTCACCACATACTTTAACATAGGCGCACTTTGAACGAGTTTTTATTAAAATATTTCTCTTTCTGTTTTCAAAAATAATTATTTTCTTACCTTATTTATGAAAAATAGCCAGTCCAATTTGGTTTGGTCCATAATAAAGGTCCAATAATAGTGTATTTGGATTGGGCTCGAAAAGAGGTTTCGATTGATATATTACGGGCCTAATTCCGATGACTTATGAAGAAGTTATGGATTAAATTAGATTAGGCCCAATGATTTTTAAAGGTGGCCCGATGATCTAGAGGAGGGCCTATTAATTATGTTTTTAAAAGAGTGTTTTATTTAGAATAAAATATATTAAATCTGATTTCGAAAACTGCTCGGACGCTTAATTACCTGCAACCGGTTTTTAAGGTAATTATGCGTGGAAAAGCGCGTTGATTTTTGGACCAGCGCGAGACGACAGAGTCGTCGCCAGGCACTGACCTTTGTCGCCTGGCGCTGGATTTCGTTGCCTGGCGACGAGTTCGTCGTTTGGCGCTGGCTCCTGTCGTTTGCGACAGGAGGAATTTTATTCCGAATATAATTTTCTTAGATCCCGTGCTAATTTTCTTATAAATAGGGGTCGTACTTCCCTGTTTTCAAATCATCTACATTCACATTCATCTTCTCTTTCTCTTTTCTTTTTCTAAACCATCCCTCTCTTAAAATTCCTCATACATTAGCTTTGGAAACACCTAGCCAAGTTCGAAATTGCCTTCGCCCTAGACGTGAAAGGTTTGACATTTCTAAGGGTTTGGTCCCTAATTCCTATTTCAATTATTTAATTTAATTGTTTTGATTTAATTTTCCTTGAAGTTACTAATGTGTGTATTTTGTTATTAAAAAGAGATACGAGGCATCCAAGTAAGTATTTAATTGTTTTATTGATATTTTGATATAGAAATCATGCTTAGATTGTTATTTTATTTCCTAGTATCATGTTAGGGTTAATATTTCTAATATCAAGTATGATTAAAATAATGCTTCCTATTTCTAGTATCAAGTATTTCATGTGTGTAATTTTGATTGACATTATTAGAATAAGCATAAAAAAGGTTCTCATTGGAAAGATCATCCGTAGTGAGTAAAACACATAGGAATCTAGGAAAATATCTTTCACAACTAGAATCAAAATAATGCTACGAAAATTACTGGAAAATTCAATTACAGAAAGCTACTGAGGCATGTAGGAATTAGCGCTGAGAAAACAGTGTCGGCGCCTAACGTTGGCGTCGTCCCCTGGCGACGAAACTATTTTCTCGCGCCAAATTCTTCCACTACCGAGCCAGAAATCTACCTTCTTGTTTCAACTGGTTTCCAAGTACTGTTTGCTCGGTTTTACTTCTTGATTGAGTTTATCCTTATTTTTTGAAACCCATATGTGTTCTACATATGGGCATAACCCTCTGGTAATTTATGCTCCATATACCCAATAGAACGCTCCTGGCAACAAAGGGTACATCCGAGAATGTTGAATTCACCAAACCATGGAAGCGAGTTTAACTCGCGAGGTCCCATCCACACGCGCCAACCCTTCCAAAGGTAAGGCTTCTGCGCGGTGCATCCGAACTCATAACCATGGACCCTCTTTGACTAACCCATATTTTGAACTTTAGAGAGCTAGAGCCATGGTAAGGTTGCAAACTCATTGCATCATATCGTGACTATATGACTACTGGTGCATTATTTGTTGTGCATACGCTATGTGTTTTGTTCCTAATAGTTTGTTTGACTTGTGTATGAGTTAAATAAATAAAAAAATGACTAAAAGGACTTTTCTAATTTCATTAATTAATTAATTAATAATGATTAAAGTTTAATAAATTGATCAAACTGGACTTAACACGACTTTTAGGCTAATCCCTTTAGAGCAAAATACTGGAAACAGTCCCAGATCGATGTTCCATAACGGCACAAAGATCTGGACTGTGGTGCCACACGCTAGTGTCCGGCACCAGGCGACGATCCCGTAGTCTGGCGTAAGCTGCCAGCGTCTGGCGACGGTACTGTCGTCTGACGACAGCCAGTAATTTTGCTCGGGTCTTCACGATGTGTCGGTTTAATCGATTTGCTAATAAGGTTTAATCAGTTTATTAATGGCAGTAATTATGTTCAGTCCTTAATCGAGTCTAGGCACATATCCCACGGTCTCACAAAAAGAGTCAAAGTATGTCACTCACATTTACTATTAAAGCACACACATAACATGTCACATCTTGACCATGTCTAGAGGGTCTTCTATGAGCGTCTTTTTCTTCATTTTTTAGGGGGGTTAGTCGGATATTAATCCTCCATTAAAACCATAATTGTTAAAACCTTACTTGGTCTTAAAAAAAAAATACATCCCATTTTTTTCTTTTTGCTATTTTATTTTTTAAATCAATAAAGTCAAAGCTAAATTCTAGTCAAGTAATTAAAATAAATAAATGGTTTAACTTACAGCGCTTGGTTAAGAAAGGAAGGGCAGCTAATCAAAGACATCACTTTTGTTCAGATACTCCTTTTTGACAAAACCATTACTCGGAAAAGGAAAGCTAAGAAGATCATGGCCACTCAAGAAGAAGTTGATGAACTCAAGAAGGATGTAGCCAACCTAACTGACTTGATGAAGAACATATCTCTTCAAGTTAATGATCATGTAAGGCAACAACAAATGGAGCTCATGCAAGAAAGTTTGAGCAAGATATCCAATGATTACAGGTTCCAAGGCATTAGCTCACAAGGGGTCTTGGTGGACAAGGAACTTCTTCCGCAAAAGTTCAGTGCCACTGACATCCCTAAGTTCAAGGCAACAAACAATCCCTACTTCCATTTAAGAGCATTTGAAACAATAATGAATATTAAAGGGATAGATAAGAAAATTTTCCATACACTGTTTTCTTTATCACTAGAAACTGTCTGTCAACAATGGTCCTTTTCCCTTGACAAAGAGAAAACCTCTACTTGGGATGCCATTGTGAATGCTTTTATTGATAGGTACATATGCAATATTCAAGTTGAAACTGATCATAGGGAACTTGAAATACTCAAACAAAAAGAGGATGAAGGGTTTACTTCTTTCTTTGATAAGTGGAGGGAAACCTCTGCTAAGATGATTGAGGTCCCTACTGAAAAAGAGTATGTGAGAATTTTCATCAAAAATTTCCAAGAAAAATACTCCAAGCATCTCAAATACCAAAGCAACTTGAACACCTTTAAGGCCGTCTATGACATTGGAATAAATATTGAAGACGAACTTGCAAAACAAAAGCTGATAACACTAACTCCAACAGTGGCTGGAAAGGAAAGAAGAACGACAATCCTTCTTCTTCCAAAACTACCCACTTAAATAATGTTAGCACCTTTAATTTGAACGAAGTCCTTTCTATGAACAATCAGGGACAAAAGAAACCATTTAGGAGGAACTTTAATCCTATTGGTATGAGTTATGAAACCGCATTTGACCGTCTTCATGCAAAATGTCTTATAACTCCCATTGGACCATTCAGGGATCCACCAATCGAAAAGAGATCACCTAATTGGAACCCCAATGCACACTGCAAATACCATCAAGGCAGGGGCCATCTTACTAAGAATTGCTGGAAGCTAAAGGAAGCTATCCTAGACTTGATAGACAATAATAAACTCCCAGTGCCTTCAGCAAGTAAGAAGCCAAGTATCAACAGTGCACCACTTTCTGATTCCTTGGCCATCTCTGATGAGAAAAGTTCTGTTGATCCCTCATCTTTGATCAAACCAATTGAAGAAACTCATGCCCTTGAAGAAGAAGAAGTATTCTTCGACACCATGAGCGAACCCTCCCCAATGCAACAACCGCCCACTAAGGAAGACATATTGCTCCTTGTATATTCAGTGGAAAAATTTGTAGGCATGTGTAGAAAGATTCTTGAACTGATGGGTGTCATAAATGGCACCATTTGATGAGCATTCAAGTCGTTTTTACCTTCTTTTCATAGCTTTCTTTCTCAATAAATGTTTAGTTTTATGATTTTTCTCTCTATTTTACCTTTCCTCTCTTATTTTATGGCTTTTGTGCGTTTTGATGGTTTTTCTAGTCTTTTCTCCTTTAGTTGTTCTATTTCGTTATTTTAGTTGCTTTTCCTTTATTTTAGATTTTATAGATTTAGTTTTCATTTTATTTTAGTTTTCATTCTATTTTATTTTCATTTTTCATTTTCATTTCATTTTCTTTCCTTGATTTTCTTTTCATTTTATATAGTTTTCTTTCTTTTATTCTTTTCATTTTATTTCTCTTAGTTTTGTTTATTAATTTGAGTTTATTTTACTTCATTTTATCCTTGGTTTCATTTGTGTTTTATAGGTGGATATTCAAAGTTCAACCCCTTGCGCTTGCAAAGCCGTGCTCTCAAGCCGGGTAGCACTAGTGGAAAAAATCTCATTCGTAACAAGCTATTTGTAACGGGCAAAGCTTTGCCCGTTACAATTAAGATATTCGTAACGGGAAAAATAATGTCCGTTACGAATACATATGTATTCGTAACGGACAAATTAGTGCCCGCTATGAATAAATAAGTATTCGTAACGGACAATCTTTATTCGTAACGAACACTATTTTGCCCGTTATAAATACTATATTACACGTAACAGGCGTATTGTGCCCGATACAAATGCCCAAACTTGGCTCAACTGATGAGAGGAGCCCAGTACTTGGCTTTTTAGGGTTTCACAGCCGTCATTCACCTCTCTCTCTCTCCTCCCCGTCATTCACCTCTTTCTCTCATTTCAAACTCAGGCCCTCTCTCCTCTCCTCCATCAATCTTCCCCTTAACAACAAGTGAAGATCTCTAAACCTAACAACTGATGAACAATTCTTAGATAATTTAGGATATCTTTGCCGAAAACTTCAACCATTTTAGATCGTGAGGTAAGAAATCCTTCAATTGTTTTTTCCTTTCTTGAATTGATTTCTGGGCATCTAATTGTTTAAATTCATGAATTTGTTCTTGTGAATTCTAATTTGCTTTATTTTTTTCTACATGCATTTTGTATTTGATGCATTTTTGGCATTTATATGGTTCGGTTATCTTTTGTACGTCTAAACGAATAATAAATCTAAAAAAATATATATGTTCTTCAGTTGAAACGAGTAATACATGCAAATAGTAGTGAATTTAGTTCATCTTTGCTGATTAATACCTGATTGCCGATTTTTTTTGTAATTTTTTTTGTTTATAGAGAGAATTAAGAAACCTGATATGGCAAGTTGATTAATTCTAGGGTTCTTCGATTTCTTTCCCGAAATCGATCAATTTATCCCTAATTCGTTCATTTTTAGTGGTAATTTATGGTTTGTTGGTATATAATCTCTGTTAATCTGTTTATTGAAGTGAGAATTTGGGTATTGGTTGTTGATTCTCTATGCAAGGTTCTTTCTTTCTGCATTCTTTGGTGTTTTAATCTACAATTGGTGAATGTTGTTGATTTTTAGTTGATGTTTTCTACCTGATAAGGTTACATGCGCTCAGAAATTTTTGTATACTGCAGTGGCCTCTTCATGTTAGGTTTTGTTTTACGCAACCTCTACAATGCTGGCATTCTTACTAATTTTGAAGTACTTGATTTATTACATACGAGAGGGGCTGCCAAGGAACCTACCCGGGCCATGGGTTTGTTAAAATCGTCTAAATTCAAGGTTGATACTTTAGCTTTGTTCGTTTCCTTTTTTTGTAAGCTGAATGCCGTGTTTTTGATTTCGTGATATGGAGACAATTATACCTACAGTTGATGTTTGTTTTTACAATTTGTGATTAGGTTTATGATTATTTGGTTGAGAGTGCTGCTTGTGATCAGACTAGAGAAAGTATCAATGATCTTATAGAGAAATTTAAAGAGTATCAACTACCTAAAGCTGAGTTGATAAACATCATTAACAATCACCCCTCTTCCGCAGTCGAATTGGCTCCGGTACTATTCTGTTGAACATCTTTTCTTAATTTTGTGTTTAAATCTTCTACATTCTATCATTGTAATTGTTTTTGCATAAATCTTCCATGTCCTTTGCTAGGCTAGTAATCTGTTAATGAGTGTTTGCAATTGGTGAATTTTGGTGATTTTTAGTTGATTTTTTCTACCTGATAAGGTTGTATGCGCTCAGAAATTTTTGTATATTGCAATGGCCTCTTCATGTTAGGTTTTGTTTTACGCAACCTTGCTACCAATAGGAAGTGTATCTTGTAGTAAATGTACATAATCTAGTAAATGCTTAGATTTAGGATATAATCATTAGCAAGTATGGAGTATAAGATACTGAAATGTAAGCTCAACCTAGATGCATCTTAGGATAGACCTCAAACAAAATGATGTTTAGTTTTCCTATAGTCTACTGCTAATATTCACATGCACTGCAAACTTTGACTCATTCCCATTCAGATGAACTGTTGATGAATTGAAGGAAGATTATAAAGGTCACTAATGGAAGATATTTATATTTCACTGAATGTACCCATAACAATAATTTCTCTTTTCAAATTTAACTTAGAGAAATTACTGAATGTGCCTAGAATAGTAATTTCTCTTTTCAAATGAGCTGTTAATGAATGAGGGAAGACTAATTTATGAGGTTGTGGAATTTGTATGTCCTTTGATGATTTATGCTTTCAAACCTGGGTCTCATGTTGTTCCTTTCTCCGAGGAGGTTGGACTTTGATGGAGGAGGAAATGAGGAAGTCGGTGAAAGCAATGCAGACTCTGAGGACCTGTCTTTGATCAGAAAACAACTTCTTCAGATAGAGAGACAGCAATCTGATATGATGGTTCTCATCCAGGTTAGTTGCATACTCTTTCTTTATTCCATTGTTAATAAGAACTGGCTTCTTTTATCTTTTTGTGTTGATTTACACCCAAAAAACAAACAGCTATAATAATATGAGTGAGAGTAGTGAATAAAGATCATTGTAGTTTCTGCATTTTTAATTTGAAGATTGATAACTGACATCAACCTTTTGCTTTGCAATATTTAGAGATTTATGGGTAATTCTCAAAGTGGGATTGGCTCTTTGGAGAATAGAGTATCTGGCATCGAGAGAGCATTGAATGAGATCTCACATGATTTAGTTGTGCAAAGAGGAAGAATTGCCAACAATGACTTAGCAGGAAGCACTTGCTGTCCTAGTACATAATTCCTGAGTACGAAATTCTGGAGAAGAACAGAAGGAAGGTCGTCCTCAATTCCAAAGTCATCCTATTCAGGAAGTATGTCTAGTAGTCTCAAAGCTGCTCCACAGATGGATGGTTTTAAGCACCACGAGCAGAACGAAGGCTTTTATTTGGAGCCATGGGGAAGTGTCAAAGGCATAGGCCAAACTGCCCAGAGAGGAAGAAATTATAGTCCCAGAAGCTTTGATTCAGCTTCCACTACTGCTTGTTTTAATTCAGTTGTTCGAGGAGCATAAACTACAGGTAAATTTAATTCGCTTTCTACCCAATTAGTATGCAATTTTGTCAATTCTTTCGCCTTGGCCATCATATCTCTTGATGTAGTTAGTTGATTCAGGCATTTAGCATTTCATATATGCTTCTTAATTTTATCCATTACTTTTTAATGAGTCACTCGCTATGTGGTAGTAGGTAGACATCAAAACCGACTCATAATTGGTAAAAATCCATACCTTACATGATACGGAGTATTACATAATATGATTTAAGATTCGAAATTGACCTGATTTGTCCTGAGGCAATATTGGCAATGGCCGCAAATATGGCCCAACCCAAGATTACATAAACAGATCTGATCCGCCGAACAACCCTTTAGCCATTTCTAGTTGATATACAGTTTGTTTTTCATTCTACAACCTGCTGAATGTTTAATGATCATTGTTCTAGAAATGATTTTACACCAACTTCATGATGTTTCTACTTTTTCATCATAGGATCTTTTTCTTAATTTTCTTGACAGTGAATCCTCTTGTTATAATATTATGCCTTTTCCCCTCCTTTCTTCTCGTAGTATAGTAAGATTAATTTCGTTGATATAATATGGCCACCAAATATGTCAAATAACAAATAACACTTGAATTATTGAGTATGCTAGAATTTTGGAATATTCATATCTATGTCAGTCAAGCCATTAAATGTGACCAATATTGAATATATTACAGGTGGGATGGGATTTTGTTGCTGACTTAACCGTTGATTTTATCTAATTGATAGTATGGGCCCTTTAAACTGTCGATCCTTCCCTATTTATGTCTATCTTCTACTATGTCAAAATCAATGCTAAAGTTTAGGGAAAAAAGTTTTATAGAGTAATAAGTTGTGAATATAACGGCTAATAAATTCAAGGATTGTGAATACATGAATGAATACTAATCATTGGATACGAGTATTTTTTTGCTATTCAATTCCGTTTGATAATCAACTTGTCATGAGTATTATAAAGTATAAAGATGAATTTTCTTTTGATGTTTTCCAGGTTAATGAAGTTCTTGAAGATCGTAGTCAAGTTGAAACTATTTGAATGCTACTTTTGTTGGTGTTTATAATGGGTAAGCCTCCAAATATGCAATTAATTTAGCTTAGCGAGCTTGTTTTTTTGTACATGTTATTGGATAAATTGGACTTTTAACATTATCATTATACCAGAGGGAGAAAGATGGTGGGTGGAAATGGGATTGGAGACATGAAGGAGACACAAGAGATGATCGATTTTCTTTTGCTCTATTTTTTAGGTTTTTTTTGACAAAATAAACAGCTCATAAATTTGAGAAGCCTCGTGATAAAAAAATGCCTTGGAGTTGATGAGTTCATGTGCAAATGCTGTCATGGAGGAATACGCTGACATAATATTTTCATATGGATATAGCGATGAATTTAGTTTTGTATTAAAAAAGGAGTCCAAATTTTACTAGAGACGTGAAAGGTTTGTGGTTGAATCTACATTCAGATGTTAGTACATGGGATTCACAAATTTCCTTGTTGACATACTGATGTTTTAATTGCTGTTTCATATTGCTTTATTTTCCCCTTTTATTATGAACTACTGAGCCCAGTTTAGTTTTAGTTATTAGGCGATAATAAATGTATTTTTTTTGGTGATTGTATAAATACAAAATTCTTTGTTTTATCTCAATTAATTAATAAAATAATTGTGCTATAATTTTTATGCAAGCTAGCTAATCCAGCACAGCATGTGCTGGATTTTTTTTTTAATTGGGGTACACAATATTCATGCCCGTTACAAATAACGGTGTTATTTGTAACGGGCAGTTGAAATTCCCATTACAAATAAGTCGTTATTTGTAACGGGCACTTAAAATGTCCGTTACGAATAACGGGCTATTTTTAACGGGCACTTGAAATGTCCGTTACGAATAACGGGGTATTCGTAACGGGCACTTGAAATGTCCGTTACAAATAATCCGTTATTCGTAACGGACATTTCAAGTGCTCGTTACGAATAACCCATTATTCGTAACGGACACTGCCCGTTACAAATAACACTAGCTATACGTAACGGTGGCATACGTAACGCCCGTTGCCCGTTATGGATAGGCCTTTTTTGCCCATTACGAATAACTATTTTTCCACCAGTGTAGTGTTGAACCCACAATCATGGTGTTTAGGGACTGCTTACTTTAGTGTTCATCACGAGCATGCTGACGATGCTCGTGCCCACCGACTACTCAACCACAAGCACCTCTCCTGTTACCCAAATTCATTCCCCTGCTCCACTTTTAGCTCCGAACAGTCGCAAGTAAATCCACCACCAATTCAATTCACCAACACCAACAACTCCAATTACACTCTCGCTCAACCACTAGTCAGCCACCATCACTTATCTTCAATCCCCACCACCTCACACACCTCAAACTGCCGCAACCACAAGCCACCAGTTCAGCTCCCCAGTCCCGCAACAATTCACACCACCAGACCTGCCACCAATTCACTGCACCACTCACGCAACTCCCTTATTTCCCCAATTCACCAACAACAGCCGCAATTAATACCTAATTAGCCACCTTCGCCTCCACTCATCTCCTATCCCGCAACCAACACGCAAAACCAAGCAGCTCCATACGCTTCTCATGCAAGGGCACTACTTTAATTCGAACCTCACTTAACGCGGCCGCGCGTATCTGGGTTTGAAGGAGGAGCGTGGCAGGGAACTCTCTTGGCCGTTGATAGAACCATGATGATGATGATCTGGGGTGATGTGCGAAACAGGGGATAAAATCCCACTCTTATGAAGCAGCCAAAACCAAAACTTTCTTTTATTTCCCTTTTATTTTTAGTTTTCCTTTTTACTTTCTTTTTCTTTTATTATTTATTTTATTTTTATTTCCTTTTCTTTTATTTTTCTTTTGTTTCCTTTTCTCTTTTATTTTCTTTTAACCTTGTAATTATAAATGCCCATTTTTGGGTTAGAGAGAGAAACAAGTAGAAGGAGAATTAGATTAGAATTAGAATTCATCTTCTTAGCTTAATTGAGAGCTTCTCTCTCTAGTTTTAGGGTTAGTTTAGGAGTATATTTTATAGAGAGAAAGTGAGGAATTTCAATGGTAATTGAGTGATTGATGATTCAATGGTGACAATTGTGTTGAAGATCTTCTTTATTATCAATGAGCATTCTTAACTCTATCTCATTTTATTGCTTTGTTTAATATTCAAGTTTATTTGATTTGATTTTTGATGTTTGATTGTTGATTAGTGTAATTGTTCTTCATATATTGTTGATTCTTGATTTCTTTAGTTGTTTGTTGATTAGATGATGATGATGTTAGAGTAGTTGTTTGCTAGGGATTGGGTGAAACTTGTATGATTGATTAATTGTACTTTATTTGGGGATTGTGTTGATTAATTGTTGAGATTAAAGTGATTAATGGAAGTTTGCATGTGTGTAATTCGATTAGGCCTTGAAAATTATGCTAGATTGCATTGTAGTTTCTAATGATACGGACCATTGATTTAGGAATTGCAATTGTCGATTGAGCTTGATTAGTGATGCTCCTAGTTAGAGTCTCTCGTAGTTGGCATTAGTTTGACCTCTAGGAGATAGCTTGTTGACTCTTTTGATTGAGCTTGTCGTTAGTCTTCACAACCATGGATTTGCATATTGTTCCCGAGTTGCTACAATTGTCATGATTACTTGTTGATCCCGTTCCTAGTGCTTTATTTGTTTGGTTTCTTTGTTTGTTAGTTGTTAGTGTTCTCTCTTTATCTTTGTCTTCGACCTATTTTAGGAACATAATTGAGAGCGCTTGAACATTACCGTTCCTTTGGGTTCGATCCTTGATTTGCCTCTATACTATTATATAGGTTTGTTAAGTGTTTATAAATTTAGTTTGACCGAGGGAGGATTAGTTCCAACGACCTAGTTCCACCCTCGTCAAAATGGCGCCGTTGTCGGGGAACGGTGTCTATGTTTGAGTGTTTTTTATTGCTTAAGTCTAGGTCTTTGTATATAATTTTCTTTTATTTTATTTTTGTTTGCTTTTTAAAAAATTGCATGTTTCTCATTTCCTCAATATAACAATGAGCCTTTTTGTTCATATTTCAATAGACTCGAGGGATTTCTTGACTATAATCGCTGTAGTCTTTAGGAGGCTTGCGAGATTTGTTATTTTTGTTTAAATGAAAAAACTAGGAATAAAGTTGAATGCATGCATAATGGTAGATTTAGAGCATTATCAATTGATGATGCTTGGGATGTTCATCATAGGGGTAATCATGTTTCTAATTTGATGTGCAATGTGTTAATTCTTCTAATGTTAGCATGATTTCTCATGATTTGTCACATGATCCCATAGACCTAGAACAAATGCTTTCAATTCTATTTCCCCTTTTGTTCATGATAATGATGTGCATTCTCAAGTTAACAAATCTCATAAGTTTGATTGTGCCCCCTCTCCCCTATTTAATGAAAATGCTCATGATTTTAATGTGCATGGTCCTACCCTTGGTTGTGACTCTTCTTTTACTATTGGTCAACCCTCTTTGCCTTTTCATTCTCCAAACTCTTGTGATGAGTCTCTAGTCCCCTATAGCCAAATTGTAAAAGCCGTCCTAAGTTAAAGAGGCATGGACAATTGCTTTGAAAGAAATGAAAATTTAAAAAAAAAAAGTGAAAATAAGAAAAAAAAACAAAAATATTTTGATGTAATTTCTTTTCCCTTTTCAAGCATTGAGAACAATGCTTCCTTTAAGCTAGGGGGAGAAGCGTTTGCGCTTTTTGTATATAGGATTGTGGTTATAGCTTTGAATAAGCTTGGGGGAGTTAGTTTGTTTTTGTTTGGTGATTGCTTGGTTATGAAGAGAAGGTTTGATCACCCTTTGCTTCACTAATTAGGAATACCACCAAATATTCAAATTTTAAGCCTACCTTCACCCTTTTTTCCCTTTCGTTACAACCTTAGGGAAAGTCCTTTTGACCTAGTGGTTGAGTCACATACCGAGGGAGGTCATTATGAGTTAAAGCCTAAGGAGAGGGGATGCATTGTCAAGACGTCGAGTAGCCCAAAATTATCTCTTTTTCCGGTTCCTTCGTGGAACTTTTGAGATGCTCACTAGGGGAAGATATGAGACTAGTAGGGAGAACGCGGTAAGACCGTTTGGGATGAAAGTGAATTGCGTTTCTCTAGTTCCTATGCTTAGCATATTTATGTTTCAATCAACCTCGGGTATCTTGAAACGTGCACTCCCTTACTTGTTTAGAAAGATTTGCATTCATTTGTGCTTGTATATTTGGAAAAGTCCTTCCATGAACATGTGTTTTCTCTTCTTTTCTTTTGATTTCCTTCTCATGCTTTGCCTTGTTTGTATTATTATGAGAGTTATAGGTTAATCTCTTAGGAAACCTTTACGAGAGCATCACTCGTCCTCTAGGGCGTTATAGGGGTTTAAATGACTTGTCTTTAGTTGCTAAAATTTACCATGATTCCTACAAAAGTGAGTTAGTGTATATTCTTGTCTCTTCTCTTCTTTTTGTTTGTTTGAATAAGCTCATCATTTCTCCCTTGGTTTTGTTTTGCTCGAGGACGAGCAAAAGGTAAGCTTGGGGGTATTTGATGGGTGTCATAAATGGAACCCATTTTATGAACATTTAAGTTGTTTTTACCTTCTTTCATAGCTTTCTTTCTCAATAAATGTTTAGTTTTATGCTTTTTCTCTCTATTTTACCTTTCCTGTCTTATTTTATGGATTTTGTGCATTTTAATGGTTTTTCTAGTCTTTTCTCCTTTATTTGTTCTATTTTCGTTATTTTAGTTGCTTTTCCTTTATTTTAGATTTTATAGATTTAGTTTTCATTTTATTTTAGTTTTCATTCTATTTTAGTTTTCATTTTTCATTTTCTTTCCTTTATTTTCTTTTCATTTTATATAGTTTTCTTTCTTTTATTCTTTTCATTTTCATTTTATTTCTCTTAGTTTTGTTTATTAATTTTGAGTTTATTTTACTTCATTTTATCCTTGGTTTCATTTGTGTTTTGTAGGTGGATATTCAAAGTTCAACCCCTTACGCTTGCAAAGCCGTGCTCTCAAGCCGAGTAGTGTTGAACCCCCACAATCATGGTGTTTAGAGACTGTCTACTTTAGTGTTCATCACGAGCATGCTGTGAGGACGATGCTCGTGCCCACCGACTACTCAACCACAAGCACCTCCCCTGTTCCCCAAATTCATTCCCCTGCTCCACCTTTAGCTCCGAACAGCCGCAAGTAAATCCACCACCAATTCAATTCACCAACACCAACAACTCCAATTACATTCTCGCTCAACCACCAGTCAGCCATCATCACTTACCTCCAATCTCCACCACCTCACGCACCTCCAACTGCCGCAACAAACAGCCACCAGTTCAGCTCCCCAGTCCCGCAACAATTCACACCACCAGACCTGCCACCAATTCACTGCACCACTCACGTAACTCCCTTATTTCCCCAATTCACCAACAACAACCGCAATTAACACCTAATCAACCACCTTCGCCTCCACTCATCTCCTATCCCGCAACCACCACGCAACACCAAGCAACTCCATATGCTTCTCACGCAGGCGCACTACTTCAATTCAAACCTCACTTAACGCGGTCGCGCTCGCATTCATCGCGGCCGCGCG